CGAGCCTCTGGAGATGTCGAGCCGCATGCGGGCATCGCATCATTTTCGCGTATTTCACCCAAACATTTGACGGCCAGTCCGACATGGATCATAAATCAGATGCATTCGCCCACATCATTCACCGCTTTAAAGGTTGCAAGGGCTGACAGGGCGCCAGACGATGTTGCGACTGCGGCCATCACTATCGGTACCACTGTTACTGCGGCTTCTGCTCCCGCTGGTGTTTCAAAAGTTGCCGTTGTTAACCCCGCTGCTCGCACTTCTCCCTCCTCCACAGTACAGGTTAGCGATGGAGTAAGGATAGCACCAGTGCCAAGTCCACAACATCGCGACACGTTACCCACGACCGAACACGCACCTGACGCAATCAACCCAAGCAACTTTGCTACTGAAAGCCTAACTGAACATTCCGTGTCTTTTTTAAAGAAGCCTCAGGAAACGGAGAGCGCCTTACTTCTCCAGAGCAGTGTGGACTTCCTTGAGGTTGATCCCCAAGAGGAACTGCAAGCGAGGAGGTTTGAAACGCATTCTTCACGGAAGTCCGAGACGAATTCTGTGGACAATATGGCATCGGCTGCATCATCGCCGACAGGAAGCAGTTGGTCTCAACGAGAGGTGCATTCAGCGATATCAACAACAGAACGGCGCATTGTGGCCTGCTCTGGAAACCCAAGCGTTGCCACACAGCATGACGCAGGGAGCGTTGAATTCCGTTCAGTTGAAGTCCAAACGGACTGTGAATCTCCAGCAAAGGAAATTGTATGCGATATCTCGCTGGGGAATACTCAAGGAGCACTTCAAGAGCCGACCGAAGCAGCTCCACGGCAAGAAGAAGAAGAAGAAGAGGAAGGGGGAGCAAAGAACGTCCTGGGTTTGAGCAGCATTCACCTTCCCCATACGGTTTCCAATCTAACTGTGTCGTCGACGAGGCCGGCGCTTGAGAAGTATGGCATGGGCACACGTTGTGAGGAACGGAACGAAGAGGCTCATTCATTGGAGGCTGAAGAAGAAGGCGTATCGAGCAAAGACAGCGCCGCCGAGCCCGTCGCAGATGGTTTTAATGAGGCTTTGAATGGGAAATCGCAAGAGTCTGCTTGGAGTGTGCCGAACCAGGAAGAGGAAGGAAAGGGGCCAAAAAATGACTTGAGTTCAAATGATGCTTTCAAAATTCTAACACATCACAGTGGCTCTACGGAAGCCACTGAGATGCAGCTAGAGCAGCCCCTCACTGTGACGAAGGATGTTGCGTTCAGGGCTGGCCGTATTGTGGAGAAATGGCTGGATGTGAAGGCAAAATGGCAGGGACTTTCCATCAGCCATTTACTGAAACGTGAGTCGAGTGCCGTCATCAAAGAGTTCCAACATTTTCTTGCTGTCTGCATGGAACTCAAGCAAAGGCACGCGGATTATCTTGCATACCTTGACTCCCCGTATGGACACACAGTGCGGGGGGATCTGGTTCTCCGAATATCGTTGCTTGCGACATCGAACATGGAGGGCGATGGCGGCGGTGAGATAAAACCCCCGTGGAGACCTGCGGAATTGCATGGTGAGAGTGCTGAAACGCCCAGTGAAAAGTCTAACGACGATTTCAAAAAAAACAATATTTGTGACGCGAAAAGAAAGTCAAGTGCGGCGGCTCTGGCGACGGAACTTTTGAAGTTAAGTGTGCGTGAAGTAAGTGCCAACTTGGGGTGCGGCGTTTTGCACATATTCCGTGTGGGAGGTACGTGCCCTGCGCTGTACTGCACTCTCATGAAGCCATACGCTGACGGTCCGGGCGAGATTACACTCATGGGAGAGTCATTTCCAGTGGAGGTGCTAAGAACGACCATCTTGGAGGATCTGTGTGAGGCACGTGAGGAGAGTCGCCGTGACTGGGTTCAGCTCTCCACGCTATGGAAGGAAGCCATTTCTGGTGTCCTTCAACACGGTGTCTTTACGGAACACATGCAAAAAGTGCGGCAATTGTTTTTTGAGCTCGCTTTCTTACTACACTGCCCTGGAGAGATACGGCTCAGTGTCAGGTATCAGCGACACATGGACCCTTTTCCGCCCAACAACGCTGAATGCGTGGTCCAGACGGAGAAGACGGAGGGCGATTTTAACGTCACAGGAACATCCAACCGGAGTCCGTCCAGAACGAGTTCCACGGAAAGAAAGGCCGCTCTTTCAAACTTGTGTAAAGAATTTCTTCCACACCTGCAAGAACTACAGGACACCTACTATCTGTATTTTGAGCTTCTTGAGCCTTTTCTTCTGCATTCAATGTGCCATCTGGACACGGTTTCGACTCTCACAGACGCGATGAAATGTAAAGAGTTGGTTGATTTCCTGAAAGTCACTCATGAGGCACAGATGTTGGAGCAGCGAGCAGAAGAGACTGGGACACCCTTGCCATTGGCCGTTGTGGAAGAGGAACGAGCGGCTTTTCTTAAATTGGTGGGAGCACGAAAGGCAGGTGAAATTATGCCGCTCCCCCAAGAGTGGTGGGAGGCTGACAACTTGAGCAGCAAAAACAAATTTCCTTAACGATGTTTTTTGGCAGCGAGATTGTACTTGCATGACAACCGGAAACAGAAACAACACGAGAAGGCATTTTATGACTATCCATACAACAATAACAAAAACGAGCGTTTTTCTCTTTCCTCTTCCATTTTTTTTTTTTTTTGGATGTGCTGTCTTGTCGAGCAGTTATCATTATCGTTTCTTTGTTGTTCGCTATTCTTTATCGCTTTTTTTTTTTTTTTTTTAATTTGCTTCAGGTCTCATCAATACTGCTGTTTTTTTTTTTTTTTTTTTACCTGTATGTGTGTGTGTGTTTATTTGTGAAATTTTTTGTTTTTGTTTTTCATACCTTTGATGCAATGGGCATGCATGTGTTTCTGCCGGCATTATTGTGCTATTTCTTGGGCGAGAGGGATGCGGCAGCCCAATGATGATAAGGGTGTAGAGGACCGTGACAATTGAGAGGGGAGGGATGTTGATGATTGATGGAAAAGAGGAGGGGGAACCGACGAAGACAAAAAACAACAACAATAAAAAGAGAGTGGGAGGATCCTTTCTCTCCTTTTTTTATGCGTGCATGTACGTATGTATGTTTCTGTGTTTGTATGTGTGTGCGCGACGTCTCCCTTCAACGTGGGTGACGACGACTGCCACACTTGACGTGACGAGTGTTGTGAGGGACATGATTCTTCTCAAGACACACACACAAAAAATGTATATATACATGTATACATTTATCTTTTTTGTTTGTTTGTTTTTGTGCCTTGCGGTTCTTCCTCTCCTCCCTTTTTTTTTTCTCTCTCTTATTGGTTTGGTTCATAGTAGTAACATGACGGGTGTCTTTTTTCCTTTTCTTTTTTTTTTTTTTTTTTTTTTTATTGTGTGTGTGTGTGTGGGAGGGGTTTGCCCGTGAGAGCTGCATGTTTTCAACGGGCATCGTCACCCCCTCCTTTTTCCCTGTTCCCACGTCTATTAGATGACTCATCGCCTGCTCCGCATGTCTCTCTTTTTCTTTTTCTTTCTATCGGTGTTTACGTTTTCCTCGCACCTCGCACGGCGACGAATGAACGGGAAAAGGAGCCGCAAAAGGCTTTAAAAAAAGAAAAAAAAAAGGAAGAAAAAAAAAAAAAAAAGGATAAAAGTATTATTTCATTATTATTATTATTTTTTGGCTTTACTCCCACTCTGCTTGTGGCTCGTGTGTCTTGCAGTGGTTGGTGACACGCGTAAAAAGGGGTGCGTGAGGAGGAGGAAGAAGAAAAACAACAGCGACAAGCGAAGCACCGGAGGGTCAGGCATAAGTAGGAGGAGGGCGGTTGGCCGCGGTTTGGGCATCTCATTCGCCTTGGAGCTAAGAGGGGGATAGGGAAAAAAGAAGAACGAAAACAACAACAGAAACAACAAAACCACAAATCTCCAACAAAAGGAGGAGCAAAAACGTGAATTTGACGCAAAAACAAACAAATAAACGAACAGAAGAACACAGGCATGTCAGATTCAGCAGACCTGGTGGAAGAAATGCCCGCCGGCCGCGACGGTGAGCTTCAACAGCCGCCCATGGAAGAACGTCCGCCGACTCGACGAATAGTGCCAGAAATATTTTTTGAAACACAGAATTACTACCAGCCACAGCCGCAGCCGCAGACGATCAGCCGGCGCACCAACGGAGGGCGCACGCGTCTCGATGGCAAACCACCAGAGGCACCGCAGATCCAGACGCCGGTACAGCCTGCTGCTGCCCCGCGACTACTGCAATTGTCAAGGAGGGGCAGGGGGCCAGTATTGGAGAGAATGAAAATAAGGGCTGCCTCAGAGGCGTCTCGTGAGAATGGATTGGGCGGGAAAGCTGCAGTGCAACAAAAGCGATTTTCTCGTCGTGGCACAGCGACTCGACGTTCTCCTCACGGCGATGGGAGGTATGGTGCTTACGGAAAACTTCTTCGAGATGCGGCGAGGGAGCTTGCGATGCGCTCTCCTAGCGGAGTTCGGTCGGCAGATGGAGGGTCACCGACTAGTTCTGCGCGAAAGAAGGAACGCGGTCGCTCCAAAACGGCTTCTTGTGGTCGTGTTTCTCCTGAGGCTACACCCACGATTCATTCCTTTTCTGTTTCCGCGAGAGGCAGTACATCGCGTGAACGAAGACAGCAGAATGTATCTGCGACCAAAGAAAGCCCTGGGGACATTGGGGAAGCAGTGGCAACTGCTAGCCGCAATGGCGGGAGGCAAAGCAGCTCCTCCGTCTCCGCTTTGCGGCGTGTGGTGCACCAGCCGGGGTCCCATTAGACCAG